TATTCTGCTCACCTTTAACTGAGTCATTGTCTAGCACTATGTAAGGTCTAATTAAAGATACTTACTAATAAACTGGCACTTTTGGTGTTGCTTAGCCATGAGTTTGCATCAAAATGTAAATGAGTTCAATCCCAACACCAACAGTTATCATTTTCAGGTTGAACGCTCCTTCTGACACCTTCCTCATCCCCTCCTGTTTCTTTTTTCCTACTTTTCAGAGACATGCTAGGTGTAAATTAGTGTTGAGGCTAATTGGCTGCAAAAGAGAACAGGATGTTGAGAATTACTGGATGACACTTCTATGTCTTTAAAGTATTTTAATATTTAATATCTTTATGTCTCATCCATCTATCTATCTATCCATCTATCTATCTATCTATCTATCTATCTATCTATATTCATTCGTCTAGCTAAGCAGCTAGATATCTGTTAGCTTGACAGATATTTGTTAAGCTAACTACCTAGGTTATCTGGTTAGCTAACTATCTACCAACCTAAACAGTTGCCTATTCGCTCTCTATCTGTCTAAAATTAGTTTGGCTTACAACCTAATCATTTGTTAGCTATCTAGATAGATGATCATGTGCTTAGTTTAGTGGCTACCTAGCTAGCAAGCTAGCCGCTTCTTTAGCTAATGATCTAGCTACTTAACATTTATGCTAAGAATCTATGTGGCAAGTAAGCCAATTTTGGAGTTCTTGTTTTAAGCTAGCTAGCTAGGTAATTAACTGGTTAGAGATAACAACCTATTCAGTTGCTTGTTCACTATCTACCTAGGTGAAATTTGTTTGGCTGACTAGCATTTTTACAATCTAAATGCCAGTCTAGACAGATGAGTTATTTATCATCTAGCTATGAAGCTACTAACCTGCAAGCTAGCTAGTTATTTGCTTAGCTAATGTAGCTACTCAAAGGTTTAGTTCAGGATATTTTTTTTTTTCATTTTTTGTCCTGTATTCATTTTTTTTAAGGAAATACTTGATATGTTTTAAATCAATCAACATGGAGAGGTACAATGTACCTGTGTAGCTTGTGCTGCGTTCAATTTGCACCCAAGTCAGACTTCCCACTCGGAAAGTTTGGCAACTCCGACTACCCACAGTTGGGATGTCGAGATGGCAGCTCACAACTTTAGCAGTAAACTCTTACTCTTATTACTAATATTAATTCTTTAAGGGTTTTTTTTCCACATGCAATCACTCAAACCAGTGGGTTTTGTAGTGTGAATCTCTACGATTATCCTAGTTAATGGTGTTAGCCAGTTTAGGTATCGACAGTGGAAGGATGGACTGTTATTGGGTCGAACCATAACCCACCGGGTTTTCAACAGGTTCATTTCCTCCTCTCTCTTTCCCTTTTCCTTCCCCTCTGAAAACGCAGCTTCCATTATGCCAAAAGTTCACATTAAGAAGACGGGGAAAGGCTGGTACCTGCAATTATCCCTGCTCAGTCAGCCGTGGGTCACTAGATGCTGAGCAACAGCTGGCTCGCTCTTTACCATCACTACTCACACGTGCATACACACTCATGCACCTGCGCACTCCCACCCTCCTCTTCCTCCAGACTGTTAACTACCGATTCCTCACACTCACCTGCCAAGCAGCTTGATTAATAAGGGCAATGTTCACGGTGAAGCAAACAGCAGATACAGAGTGGAGATGAGGGGAAGCAAGTGCTAAAAGCGGCTACAAGGAGGGCTACAATGTGTGACCATGTACTATGTAATATATTCATGTGTAGCCAAAGCACGGAAGAATTAATACTCACAAGTGCAGGAATTAAATCTGTTATTTAAACTTTAGCAGTCAGGAAAATAGAACAGAGAAAAATCTTGTTTTCTTCACTGCAGCGACTTAAAAAGGCAGCTTTCCAGTTCACAGGACATGCTAGCAAAGAGATTTACCAAATATGGCTCGGCTTTCCATCTATTTACACAACCACAGCCATAGTCCAGCAGATGCATGAAACTTCAAGATTCCCTACTGAAAGCTACTGTCATCAAATAATACAGGCTCATTGGCTTTAGTCCAGTTTTGTGTTAAAGCTGCAGTATGCATGTTTTTAAAATATTTGTTAAACTGTCACCATTTCATGATAGTTTATGGGACAGATAATCTCCTCCACATCCTGCCTGAGCTAGTAGAAAAAATGCTCTGCTCCAGACCAAAAATAGCCAATCAGAGCCAGGAGGCGGGTCTTATCGCTGTCAATCAACCTCCTGTATTTGATTCTAAATGTGGCAATGGTGAAGAAATGACTTACAGCTACAGGAAAATTGTTTATGTCCCATCATCAGTGAACATGCTAACTAGCGTTAGCATTCACAACAGGCTATGCTAGGTGATTTATAGCACTAAGCCCTGCCTCCAGGCTATGATTGTTTTTAATTAGCACTGGGAGAAGGCAGAGAAGCTCGATTTTTTTTCCTAAGCGATTTAAAATCTGTGCAAATATATTTTTTAATAAAAGTTACATACTGACAGTCATAACTTGAATTTTTCAATCTATTTGAATAAATAGCAGCCAAATACAAACACAAAGCCAGTTTTGATCAAAATTCCCTCAAAATGCCCTCAGTTATGTTTGAATGCAGGATCTTTACCAGTCCAGCCAAGATGAGAGCTCAAACATCAGACAACAAAACATTGGTGATTCAGGTGCCACTTGCTAAAAGACAATTAACCAACAATTAGTGGAGCTGCGTGTAGAAATTAAAACATTTTACTCTTATGACATGAGCACTCAAATCATCAAACTTTGTGTATCAATTCAATTTGGTTCAAATAAATCATTAAAAGCATCAAATCAATGAGATTCATGGCCATGATGATGTAAAACTTTAAGGTACAATTTTAGGTTTGATGGATGTTGCAGGAACCAGTTGCTGGTCTCCATTAGTTCTGCTGAAGTCTGAACTTTCCAGAAGGAATTTTATTGGTTGCAAAATTCCTGCACAGACCTTTGTACTGAACAAAAATTAAGTAACAGTTTTCCTGGGAATGACATAAGTTTCTCAAGAAAGGCAAAACATTTTTTACACATTTCTTCTAAGAACTAAGAGCTGACCAAATTTCTGGAACAACCCAATTTGCCCCAGCAGGTACGGAAATTCAAAGCAACATCAAATCTACGTCCAAATTGTACGATTCATTTATGACTTTCTAGGAATGATTTAAAGGCAGTGAAACTTTAAAACATCAATAAAGATCCCATAAAAATGGCTACAAGGGAACTGCTTGTTTTTTGGTGCTATATCACCATATCCTGTTACAACATTTTACTTTATTGGCATTATAAGACACCTTCCTTATCAGTGAAGAAGAAATTCAATGTTCCAGAAATGCTGAACTGCTCTTAACATTTTTATTGTTTTTGAGATGATAGACATACCAATAAAGATAAATTGTTTGGTAAAGAGCACGATAATTACATGATCTCAGCAAGTTTTATAGATAATAACTGAGTCCAGAAATTAATTTCATTGACACAGAATTATAATTACAGATTTAAATATACATAAAGCCCATCACTCTGACTTATAGAAATAATTCAATAATTATTTGAAGAATCTTCCGCCAATCTGATAAAACACTGGGAGAAACCTTGACTTATGTCTGTATCACTATTTCTAAACAGGAACATTCTGTGTTTATATTTCTAAGTGATCTCTGGGCTGCTCTGGGTCCGATCCCTCACCTAGGACCTGTTTGCCCCGGTAAACCCGACCGGGTCTCCACCACGATAAGGTGGCAGCCCACGGAGAGGAAAAAACAAATCCAGAAACAGTTCCCTTCTCTGAGCTGATCTGGAGAGAGGCCAGAAGGTGGCGCTCTGGTGTTTCTAACTAAAGTTTTCTCAGTTATTTTTCTTTCTAGATGCTACATTTGGTCTGGCGTTCTGATTGGCTGTGGTTCCTTCCTGGAGGAGGCAATCAGCTGACATGATGCTGCCATCATCTGACTGTCATCCGTCTCCTGCTGTTAACGTTTCACTTCCATGAACATGGAAAGTTCTCCTGGCCAGCTGACCCGTTGTTGTGTCTCCGCTCCGTTTTCTCTCAGCTCCAGTCAGTCATGGCTGCTGGTACTGATCCCGGTTCTGGTTCTGTTGGAGGTTTCCTCCTGGTAGAGGGGAGTTCTTCCTCCCCACTGTCATAACATGCATGTTCTGTATGAGGGATTGCTGTGAAGTCAATGACTCTACACAAGCGATTTGCCGTCGCCCCCTGCTGGTCAGGAGGAGTGAATGCAAAAAGTAATGACTCCATATAATCTGCTGGGTTTTATTTGGTACAAACTTTATAAACTATTTCATAATTAACTGAACCTAATGAATTTATCATTTGGATCAACAGTAATCTGACTAAATTGAAATGACTTTTTGTAAAATACCTTGACAACAACATTGTGAATTAACGTTATAAGCTTTGAACGTTTTGGTGTCTACTTTTGGGGTTTTGAACTTTCTTATATTAGTTGTTGGGGTTTTTGTTTGGGTTTTTTATAATGTTCATTGGTGGGGCTCATTTGTTAGTTTGAAAGTTAAATTTTATATATTGCCAATTCACAACAAATGTCATCTCAGTGCACTTTAAAGTAATTTTAGTTCAATCACATGTAGTCCAATTGTTGGTACAAAAAGCTCAGCTGCTTATTAAAGTAGCTTATAAAGAACTAAATAAACTTTATTTACTGGTCAGAATCCAGAGCTGTCATTCAGAGTTGTCATCATTACCAACTTCAACTGTGATCGCTACAGAAACATTGACGCTCAGCCTTCAGCGAAACCACCAGTCAGATCCACGTTTCTGTCAAAAAATTCATCTAGTTTCAACCATATTTATTATCTTTCAAGTCCCTTACTTAACTATGAACCATTTACTTAAAGAAAGTTGTAAAATTACAAAATAAAAATGGAATTTTCCTCCACTTTTCAATTTTCTCTCTGTTTTGAAAAAAAAATCAACTTAAGATAGCAGTAAAGCTGAACTGATAACGTGGTGGCATAAAACAACACAATGTGTTTTATTATACAAGACAACAGCTCAGTGTGGCAACTTCCTGTCAGCTGGACTGTTGCATCATGTCATCTGTTAGCATAGCAGTTGCTCAATTCATTGAACAATACAGAACACAAGCAAGCAAAGAGCTTATTATATTTTTATACCATCACAAACCACAAACAGTGTTAAAATTTACATTTTCTGTCTGTAACTGATGTCATATTTTCCACATTACACTAAAACAATACTGTTGGGTTTAATTCTCTTTCATGCTCAGTCTTTAATGTAAGACAGTTCAGGACGCCCCCTTGTGGATGTAAATAATCCCTTCACTCCTTTCAGAGCCTGAGATTTATTGCTGCTGTTTTTCAGAGAAGAAAAACACATGGGAAACATTTAAACCCATTATATTACATCTGTCATGTAACAGAAACATATTTTCTGATTGCTGGTTAAACAGCGGATAAACGGTTTTCCTGTAACGGTAAGTTGTTTCTCTGTCATTAGCACAGTTAGCAACATATTCACAAGCTTGACTAACAGCGCTAAGCCCCTCCTCCTGGCTCTGACCGGTTGTTTTTGGTCGGGAACGAAGCATTTCTTCAGACTACATTCGTAGCTCAGGGAGGAGGTTGAAGAGTTAAACCTTTTCACAGATTATCCGTCTCATGTTAAACTGTCAGGACATGGCGGCAGTTTTAACATATGTGGAACAAATAGATTCTTTATAAAAGTTACACGCTGCAGCTTTAAGGTAAAGCTGGGAGTATCTATGCCACTTTGAGGAAGGAGTCCTGCATCATGCTCTCCACCTCCTCCACCAGAACGCTGTAATCTGCCTGAAGAGCTCTGCGTCCGCTCCCGCCTCTCTGCCTCAGGCGTCTCATCATCTCTCCGTGTGCTGCCGGTTCGGACGCGGCCGCTCCCAGCTGCTCCAGCTGCTCCACGGGATCCGGAGGAACATTCTGGATCCGAAGAGCTTTGAACACGGCGGGAGCAAACTTCCCGTAGTGCGCAGTGGAGCAGAGCACCGTGGGGCACGATCCATCCTGCAGCCGATCGGCCACCACTTTCGCCACGGCGGTGTGCGTATCCATCAGGTATCCCGTCTGAATGTGGAGCTCCTGGATGGCGGCCAAGCAGTCCTCCTCAGAGCACCAGCCGGCCTGCACCTCCTGCTGCATCCTGCCGAGGAGACCCTCAGGAAGCTGGAAGCGTTTCTGCGCGTCTAAGTGAGTGAAGAGGTCGTCGACCAGGCAGCTGTTTCCTCCTGAGACGTGGTGGATGAACCTCTCCAGGTTGGAGGACTTCAAGATGTCTATGGCGGGGGAGTGGGAGAGCAGCAGGGGGCGACCCTGGAGGTCGTACTGGCCTGTGGAGAGGAAGTCCGACACGACTCGGTTGTGGTTGGACGCACAGATGACTTTTCTTATCGGGATGCCCATTTGCTTGGCGTACAACGCTGACATGGCATTACCGAAGTTCCCAGTAGGAATACAAACATCCAGAGGATCTCCAAAGTTAATCACACCGTCTCTGCACAGATCCAAATAGCAGGAAGAGTGATAAACAACCTGGAAGAGGAAAACAAACCATTAGTGTCAAAGTTTTTTCTCATAGTGGACCAAAATATCACTTTTAAAAACTTAAATCACCAAAAACGTTGTGATTTTTTTCTACCTACTCAACAACAAACTAATCATTAACTACTTTAAAGGGGCAGGGTCATGTATTTTCCAGGCACATTGTGTCATTTTATACATGAATCAAGCAACTATGTTAACTTAAGTTAATATAAAAAATTATAAATATATATAAAATATGACTGAGGGGAAATTTGACTTCATAATTTAGAAAAATTGGGTCTCTGTCTTTTTAAGAAACTCCTGCTCTTTCTAAAATGTTGCCTTGAGGAAACTATCACAATATTTCAGGGATACTGGTACTGAAAATAAAGATACTTTAGCAGACTGCTACTTCAGCTAACAGCTACTGGAAATAAAGTAGCTGTTAATCTGCTAATCAGGCTAACTGCAAAATACTTAGGCAGTTAGCTTAAGTAATTTAGTACTTTAACTGCTACTAAAAATAAAGATACTTGGCTGAATGCTAATTTCGACTAGCTTTAGGGACTTAGGCTACTTGCTAGCGTAGGGCATTGTTGTTCTGTTTACTGTTATAGCAGAAAAAATATCACGATGATTTATCAGAACAATAATAAGCTAATTGATGATGTTATACCAACAGTAGTCTTAACTGCTACTACTTTCTGGACTTTCATGTGCTTATGCTAGTTGCTACTGAGGCTAATGCTACAATTAAAGAGATTTAGGCTACTTGCTACTTAGACTAAATGCTAACAGAACTAAAGATACTCAGGCTAGTGCTACTAGAAGTATATGTACTTTGGCTAACTGCTCAATGTAGCTGAGTATTGTTGAGAAAATACATTTAAAATAAGCTAGTTTTAAAATTTAACATGTCTTGATTCAAATGGCCTAAATTGTGGTTTTAAATCAGTAACTTATTCTGGCCTATTGACCTTTATTTTACTTGTAGTTACCCTTAACAGTATGTTTTGCTTTTCCGTACTCAACCCAACCATGAAAATAACAGAACCAAATTCAAGACTTTTCCAAACCCCCCAGGATCTTTGAGTCGTATTGAGCTTTTGGAGAAAGTTACCACACCTGAGGTAATAGCCGTGCCCAGTTGATGGAGTTGGCGGTGCTGAGGACGGTGCCGTACTCCACAGCGAGATGCCCGATCAGCCCCGACTCGCCAAACATCCTCTTGATGCTCTTCTGACAGAAGTCAAAGTCTGACAGGACGCTAACTGCTCTGGCGTTCCCTTCCCTGAAGCTCGTCATCTGCAGCTTCTGGACCTCACTCACTCCTTCTTCTGGGAAAAACACCAACACTCCTGTTCGGTGTCTGTCGGCGCCGCTCAGTCGGCTGAAGCCGCTCAGGACGGCGCTGCCTGTATCCCCGGACGTGGCGACCAGGATGAGGAAGTTACACATTGGTGGGAGGCAGTGGGCGAAGAGTTGGGGCATCAACTGCAAGGCGAGGTCTTTAAACGAGGCGGTTGGACCGTGGAAAAGCTCTTGGATGTATTGATTTTTAACAAGATGCTTCACAGGAGCAACTCTGTCACTGGAAAAATTGTCTCCATATGCCTTAAATACATTACTCCTGAGGTCCAGAGGAGAGACGTCCAGCGGGTGGATGCACTTTTCCAGCAAAACAGAAGCTCTCTCTGGGTATGACATGGAAATTAATCTGAGCCATTCGCCTTTAGGAACGTCTGGAAAGCCTTTCTTGGGAACATAAAGACCTCCATCTGCAGCCAGGCCCTCTATAACCACATCACTGAAATATGTTTTTCGATCGGGTGATTCTGAGCCGCCACTCCGGGTTGAAGCATAAGTCTCCTCATCGTGTTCCAGATATCTCTCCACTGCCTTCAAAACCTTCTCTGCCACTTCCTCCACTGTGTCTCCCATCCCACAAAACACCCTCACATCCAGCCATTTCTCATAGATCTGCTTCCTGTACAGCAAAATGTCTCTCATGGACACCCCGTCTTCTTGGCCCACTATCCGGTTAACCTCCATCCTGCCGAGTCTCTCCATGATGTCCCGGCTGTCCACGTCCAGGTAAACCACGACCCCGTTCTGCTTCAAGTGCTGCATAGCTTCGCCATGAAGGGGATTGGAGCCTGTCAGGGAAACGATGCACCCAGATGCAGAGAAATTGCTCAAAGTCCGGCCTTCCTCCTCCAGGAAACGTCTTCCTCCGAGCTCTGCTAACTTGGCTGCAACCGGCATCTTCCATGCCGGCTCTAAGACATCGTCATCGACGTCTAAGGCGGGCAGGCCCAGTTTGTTGGCCACAATTTTCCCAACTGTTGTCTTCCCTGCTCCGGGCGGACCCATCAGCAGAATGTTTTTGCCCCCTAGTGGGGTGGATTTTGTGGAAAACCATGACTTGGATGTGGGAAGTTGGCACAAACGGCATCTTGCGGTCCTTAAGGAAATCTGAATGGCGCTGAGTAATCCCATTCAGGAAAGAAGACGGAGCAGCTGCTTGTCCCTCTGCAAAGGAAACATGTTGGCTAATTATGACACAGATCAGAAGGGAAATGAAAATACATGAACATGCATGCAGACACAACACAAATATTTGCATTAGTATGTAAATATTAATGATCAACCATCAACCAGAAGAATGAGATTCTGTGCAAAAACTGTGGACTTTTTTTTTCTTATTAAAGGTTCTTATTCTTGAACAGGTTATCGTCTTTAGTTGATGCAGAACATTTTTTGTACCAAATCATTCTTTCATAATGAGATTTTAATCTGCTCCGTTCTGTCTATTTTGTGTGTCTTGTTACTTTAATTCCAAATAAGTTGCTGCTGGCCACAACCCAAACTCAACTTTTACACTCTCACATGAAAATGACTGCAAACAGATTATGCAACCGCACATCTTTGAAAAGCAGAAGTGGAGCCTCCTGCACAACCAACGTGGATGCAGCAAGTGGTTTCTAGATGGCAAGTCAGCAACAAAACACTTGTCTTTTCCAGCAGCCATTGTACAACACATAAAGAGCGATAAAACTAGCTGACCAAAGTGCTCGAGCTCAGCTGAAGTTGCTAGGTGATGGGGCTGGGCTATGCTGGGGTTGATAGGTGACGGGGCTGGGCTATGCTGGGGTTGCTAAGTGATGGGGCTGGGCTATGCTGGGGTTGCTAGGTAACGTGCAGTGCCCATGGAAAGTATTTAACAACCTGGAGGTTTCTGAAACAGCTAATTTTCCAGACACTAAAACATCTCGTTTTTTTTTTTTTGTTTCGGTTGGGGGGTTGTTTTTTTTTACCGCTTTGGCTGTTTTTAGAAGCAACTGAGCCACAAATGGAAGTTTAAAAATTTGTAAAATGTGAATTTTGAATAAAATCAATTTGAATGGAAGGCATAAGAAAGGGCCTTAGAGGAGCAATCATTGCCTTGTATCTTTACAAATAGTTTGATGTCCATCTTGTGGATGACTGGTAGCTGCTGCCCCAAGCTAAGCATGTGAAATGGAGCAATTAGATAAAAAAAAAACAGGGCGTTACATCTTAGACTGACTTTAAAGGTCTCAGTTAACATGATAAATGTTGAAGAAAGTACAATTAAAAAAAACATTTGGGAATGGTATCTGAAAAAAAAATAACAGAAAAGCTGAAAATTAATTACTTTTTGTTCATACCATCCAGGTTATCCAACAGTTAATCCATAAACACAGTTTTAAAGATATATATAATCCAATAAGGAGACTTTTTCAGTCTGATAAAAAAAAAATTAAACAGGTGTACTTAATAAATGCGTTCGGAAAAGTAAAAAATCCCGGCCATGTATTTGGATAAATAAATAAGTATATTGTGCATAAGAAGCACCGCATTTTTCTAATCAGTTTTTATAATATTGTGTTAAATGGTTTGTCTACAATAACAGAAGAAAACTGTCGATTTGAGAGGCTTCCTGCTCAGATAACTGACTGAAGTGGACTTCAGACTATATTATCAAAAGGTTATCAATGTTGTTTTAAACTGTTTCAATAGCCTCCACAAATTATACACCTTCTAAGGAAAACACTCACGTAAAACTGTTTTTCGCTCTTTTCCCAAGATAATGATTTATTTGCGAAACTATGTCTGTATTTTCTCACCGTTGTTAGTGTTCCTCTGTGAGCTACGGCCAGCCCATAGGGACAAAATTACTCCAAATCTGTTTGGATCTTTAAAAAAAAACCTGTATTATATGAAATCATTCCCAAATCGTTTGATATATTAGGTCAAACTACAAGTAAATCGTATAAATTTTGAAGGTTTAAAAGAATAAGAAAGCAGTTTCAGAAAAACTTAAATAAGCATGTTTGGTTGTCGCAATGTAGGAAAAAAATTGTTTTTAAGACAAAATCCCAGCATTATTAAAAATAAAAATATTTTAAAGAAAACATATTCAACAACAGAGATATTTAAAAACAACTATAACGGAATGAAGAAATACAAAATTTGAAGATGTTTAGATAGAAATATTAAAGTATAAATTCTAAATTAGAAGTAATTACCATGAAGAGAATGATGTTTTCTTATAAACAAAAATATGACTGAAAGCTCTAGTTATCACGGATTCTAAAATTAATAATCGGCAGTGACAACATTTGTATTTCTCCTGCGCAATCTTACAACAGTTTCGACAAGTCTAACCTCCACAATATGGCGGCATCATTGACGTGCAGAAGGGCTTGACATGTTACGTCAAACAGGAAGAATACTTGGCTGCTTTCAAGTTCACGTTAAAACCTCGGAATGTAGGGCTTTCGTAACAAAAGCGACAGCAGTTTGACAAACGTAACTGTTGGATTAGCAATTTTTCGACAGCTATTATTTCTAAAAAGTCACTTTTACTTACTTAAGATATTCTAACAGTATTTTTATGTTTTGAGCGCAGTGTTTTTATAAGTCAAGTGCTTTACGAGTGTTGCGGAATGTCACGTTTGTTGTACCGTTGCCTAGCAACGAGCTGGATAGCCGCTTTTACATTTTAAAGTAGCGTTTTCAGAACTCTACCAACAATGTCTGAAGCCATCTACCCAGCAGGAAGCGTCTACGACTGGATCCCAAAGGAGCAAGAGGAAATTAAAAAACCACCAAGGTGAGTTTTATAAATCATAAAACGCGTTTTAAAGAATATGACTTTAAAAAAGTACAACATTAACTGAGGTTTGACTAGTGTAATGGATCAACTTGTATCTAAATCTCATCAAATGTCTAGGTATCTTAAATGTACAGACCTAAATCACTGTTTAAAATTGGGTTTTTAAGTTCCACTCACTTCCCATTTCAACCAGTTCCTGATGTTGAACCGTTGTATTTTTTCAGTCAAGGAAGCAAAAGAGACATTTTAATATCTTTATTCAACTTTAGAACCAAAACAGACAACAAGAGAGATTAAAATGTTATCTTATTGTTGACCTCAAATGTAAAAAGTAGGATTTATTTAAGTTATTGCAGTCATGATTTGTTTTTGTCGTTTCCCCCTTAAATATTATTGAATGTGGATTGAAGTGATTGTTTGGTGTAATATTATGTTCTGAAATCTCCCTAAAGATATGTGTCCAAGTTCAGGCCAGCTGTCATACTTGAGCACAAGCTAACCAAAGATGCAAAGAAGACGATGGGACCACCAAAAGTGGAACTGCCGTCTCCGGATAAGTACCTGAAAAAACACTCAAAGCATCCCAAACCACCTGAGAGTAAGTCCCTCTATCAAAATGTATGAGGATTTACCTTTGGGGTGTGAATCTGACGTCTGCATTTCCTTTTGGGACAGAGTCTGAAGACGGGCATAAGACTCGGACATGCGCAGTGAGGAAGCCAGCGGTCCCTAGGCGGACTGAGAAACCGCTGATGGGGATCCAAACCAAAAGGAATTTCCTACAGACCACCGTCATGTTTCCCATGAAGCCTAAAGCCATTTCTGTTGACACAAAGGAAGGACACAAACAGCTCCTGGAAAACTCTGGACTAGTCCCTAAATACGTCATGAAAAAGGTATTTTCTATGTAGAGAAAAGGCATTTTGAGACTATTTTCTCTCCATAATTTTCCTTCATCCTGACTCTAAACTTTGTGTACTTTTTGTAGAAAGCTTGGATGAGTGTTTGTATTAATAGTTGTGTCTTTTTCATGGGTAAATGTCATTCTGTGTAAGTTTTTCTTTCCCTTCTGTGTTTATCAACCATGAAGAAATTGTATGGAGCTAAATTGGGGCCAAAATGTTTATTAAAAAGAAGAAAAACAAAAAAGATTTGAAGCTTAAGCTTCAAATCTTTTTTATTTCAGGACAATTGTCCTGAAAGTTATTACAATAAACAAGAATATTGTTGTTTTCAGACAGTTTTCAAGTAATATAATAATAATGGCATAATAATGTAAGAACATATTCTCAAAGATCAATAAAATTTGAATTCTGATATTTGTATGGTAAAACTCTGGTAACCACAGCTGTCAGCATTTTACCCTAAACTAAAGCCTTTGTTTGTTTGTTTGTTTGTTACAGTGTACCTTGGAAATGCTTGAAAAGTTATTGAATTGTATTGCGTGAAAAGCGTAAGAACCCTGATTCGTGTTGCTATCTGCAGGATTACGGCGAAGTGCCGATGTATCTGCAGCTGCGCAGTGAAGCCGAGCGGAAGGCCCAGGCGGAGAACCAGCGCCTGGTAAGGGAGCAGAATGTGCTGCAGCGGCTAACGGAGGAGGATCACCAGGCCGTCCTGAAGGTACGCGATTGTTTTTAGAAGAACAGGGAGTCACTGCAACATCTAAAACCTCTGCTGAAGTAAACGGCGTTAGACCGATGAAGTAGGAGGCATGTAAACACAGAAATAAGTATTTTTTAATGCAAAAATTTGCTTTTAGCTAAATTAGCTTAAAACTAATTTAGCTTTTTTTTTTAGCTACTAATGTTTGCATCTTTTATTTAGAACACAGGTGTCAAACTCAAGTCCTAGGGGCCAAATGTGGCCCTCTAGGCTCCAAATCCCCACACTTTAATTATGCAGAAATGCGTAATTCTACGTTTATTGCAAAATTTCTTCAAAAATGATAAAAAACGTTGGGTATAAGTGATGCTAACTCCCACCTGCAGGTGGCAGCACTTTGTTGCTTCTACTGCACTGCTGCCGCAGCCTGACTTGGTGTCAAGTTATACCGTGATTGATGTGGAGAATAACTAAAAGTCACATGTACGTCATACGTAAGCATTACAATGGAGTACTGGGGCCATGATAATAATATAAACGTTTTTAAAATAAAATTATGAGAATAAAGTCACAATATTAGGAGAAAAAGTCATAATATTACAAGAATAAAGTTGTATGAGAATAAATTCAAAATAATAGAATAAAGTTGTGATATTTCAAGAATAAACTTATATTTTTATTAGAATAAATTGTAATACAAGAATAAAGTAATAATATTTTGAGAATATAGTCATAATATTAAGAGAGTTAAGTCAAATTATGAGAATAAAGTAAAATTTTGAGAACACTCATAATTTTAAGAAATAAATAAAGTTGTAATTTTATTTTTAAAAATTTTCTTTACGTGACCCTAATACTCCATTGTAAAACATAAATATTTCACACAAAAAAAAAATGAAGTAGCTCAACAAAGTCTGTGATTTCATTGTAAAAAATCACAAAAAGAAAAACAAAATTTAATTTGAAGACACAGCTACTATTGGTATTTTAGCAGTTTGATAATAGATTTTATTGATACATTTTGCCACAACCGTCCCTTTAAGAACATTCATGACATTGATGTGACTCTTCTCCTCTAAGGGACTGAAGAAGAAGTGGGACGAACTCCACCGTGAATATCAGGGCCTTCCTCTCCTCATCGACACGCCGTCAAAGAAAACCCGGAAGATCTGCCTGGAGGAGAAGATGAGTCAACTGGAGAAGGACATCAGCTTCTTTGAAAGGTTCAAAACCATTTTTATTTACGATGATTAGGGATGAACGGTTTTGGTCGCTAAATCGCACCACTAGAGGGAGCTGCTGCAGAAAATGTTGGTGTGTGAATTTCCAAAATAGCTTTAACAAATTATATATGTTGTTGTTTTAGCAGTTTGACTCTCAACATTGAGGTGAGAGAACTGTGGTTACGTTCACACAGCAGGGAAATGCGTATCCGACCTTTCCAGTCTGAACGCCCCGATTCTGAATCGGATCAGAGCAGAATCAGATTTGTGCTGTCTAAATGTGATTCTAAACCAAAATTACTCGAGCATTTTGAAAATATTGACTAATTTAGAAATTACAATAGAGAAAATCTAGCAGCAGAATAAAATGAGTATAAACTATTCACAAGACTAGACAATATCTAGAGCCTCTCCATACTAATCCATCGTTTCTTCCCTGGATAGCATCGTGATGTCATCAGGGAATCCTCCCCCTGTTGCTCCATCCAGTGTTTCGGTGGTGGAATCAACCCATTAATGTTGATGGCTCCAATTGTAATTTTATTTCTCTATTTTCTAAACAATTTGCCAGAAACACCTTAATTTTAATTCCAATTCATTTATGAAATTTGATAGCCCATTTATCGCATATAATTTGGCCTGAAATAGGGCTTTTCTCCTTCTCCCCCTGAAAATATAATTAAATGATCAATTTGAGATCAATTTGGAATCTGTTATTGTTTATAAGATAACACAAGTTTTCCAAATCAGCTGTCTAGAATTGAAAATAGACTATGAGATGTTTTAGATTTAAAGTTTTATCAGTAACATTTTATCTCTATATTACGAATCCAGATAGACTTCAAAAAGCCGTTTCTGTTAGCTGTGTGTTCTTTTTATGAGCTTCCTTCATGTTTCTTAATATGATCACGTTAAAGGTTAGTGTTATGTAAAACCGACTTTTTTAAGCTTTAAATCATGTTAAAAAGTCATTCATCAAAAACATGGATTATTGCTTTGATTCTTTCATTCATGTTTGAGAAATCCTTGAGTCTCCATAGCAACCATTCAGCTGTGCTAAACGCCTGGGTGGACTTAGCCCGGCCTTCGAGTTTCCACCTCACTGAGCAACCCTGTCCCACCCAGCTCCTTTAGACTAGCCAGCAGCAGTTAGCAGACATCTGCTGGAAATATGTGTAGCAGCTATTTCTCAGTGAAACGCTGGTAAAAACATTAAAGGGTTAACAGAGGAGCCATGTTGTGACGACTTCCAGAAGGCGGAGTTTCAGAAAGAGCAGAAGCTTCTTAAAGAGACAGAGGCTCAACAATTTCAAGTCATTAAATTACAACGTCAAATTTCTTTTATAAAAGCATTTTTATAGCAACTAAAGTTAACATAGTTACTTGATTGTGGTACGAAATGAAACTGTGCCTGGAAAAGACATAAAACTGCCATTTTGAAATCAATGCATGAACGGCGGTGTCTGTTTTTACTCCCGTAAACGGAGTGATGCTGCGTCACGTTTTTCATCTGCTCATGCAGGTCGGTTCGGGGATGTAAACCGTTCACTCACAAGTCTCATTGTGGTTTAATTGATAGTGTGAAGGACTGCACAAAAACAACTGAATTTCAGGACAAAAACCAAAACCTACTGTGTGAATGTAGCCTCCATGTTTTTCACATCAAAATGTAACATTTGATTCTTTCCGTGTTTCTTTTCACTTATCTTTAAATAATGGTTTTAGAATTAAACACTTATTTGTATTTAAAAGTATAAAGGCAGTGCTATAATATACAAATATGTTGTTTTGTTTTTTTTTTCTTTTTAGTAAGAACTTGCTAACAGAAAATCACTGATGGGGTAGGTTGTCACATGTTGGAAAATAAATTTCTACTCAGGAGATTTAAAAACGTTTGATTGTCTTTAGCTGTAAATAAAAAAAATATTCAGCATTTAAAAACAGTGAAGAGACGGGCGGTAGACGGCCGCCCCGCTGAGACGTGGGCGGTCCAGGACCGGCTCGGCTTATCTGTCCAAACTGTGACTCAGAAAGTCAGTCAATGAAATTATAGCGTTTTGGGTCGGCCATATTCTGCTCTGCTACTGACAGTTTGATTCTCTTTTTTTATAATATGGATGGCCTTTATGTTCTGTCAGCATATGAAATGTTGAGAATATATTAAATTTAACCAGCGCTGCGACCAACGACTGTTTTAGTAATCAATTATTCTGACGATTAATCGGTTATTGAGATTTTAAAAATGGGCACACTTTGCTAATTTTTTGTGAAACCACTGAATCTTATTTCATACATTTAAAATACATTTAAAAGGCAAATAAGCAAATATTTCAATTGCTTTTTAAATAAGAATAAAGGCATTTTCCTGGCTAAATGCACTAACATTGAACATTGAATCATTTGTAGAAAATGATGCATCTGCAGCTAAAAAAATCTTAACTTCATTGTAGGATTAATACATGGATAGTAAAGACTTTTCTTTTACAAAATTTGAGCCAGATGAAACTAAAACTCCCACTTGAGTTCTGGGTAGAAAATATCTGCAGACAGAGAAGGTTTTTCATCTTAATCCAAAATGTTATTTTTTTTGTCCAGTTTTGGGTTAATTACTGCTTTGAACATGTTTTTTTCAGCAAACAACCTTTTTTTGTGAGCCTCCAGTTATTTGGTTACTAAATTAGTTGACAATTATTTCAACAACTGATTAATCGCAATGAATTCAATTAATTGTTTCAGCCCTGAATTAAGTGTTGTAAATTGAAAGACTGTATTAAAAGTAATCTTTCTCCAGAATCCTTCTTCCAACTTAGTTTTCATTAAAACGTTATAGGAACAAGTCATATATGTTGTTTCGTATCTTTGAAAAACAGATATGAATTAATTTTTAGAAGAAAGTAAAAAGTGCGACAACCAACCTCGTTCTGCTCTATTCATTTTCTGTATTTCTGCAGATATTTTTCTGTGATTACTAAAGCTGTGCTACAAAATAAATGCTACTTTACAGCTTTATTGCCAAGTCTCCTTATTGAAATAAAGTTGTACCTGAAAATATCCTCCCATTAACTCTGAAATCCTAAACAGTTTTAATCTAATTCAGTTAACAGTTTGTGGTTTTGAGTTGTGATGCTCCATTCAGACGTGGTAATAAAGGGGAAACGTGGTTCGCTGAAACACGGAAAGATGTCGGCATTTCAAACAGTCTGTGCTGAATGATGTCGAACTCGAGAAAGAACAAAGAGTGGCCATCGTTTCCAGATTTATGCTGCGATGAATCGTGTTTATTTTCAACCCAGTGCTGCCTGGGGCCCCGAACAAAGCCTGTCGTTATTCATCACCCTTTTCCGCTAAGATCATCCAGACCTTTCAGTGACATCAGGTGACTAAACCCCCCCTCATTCCCTCTGATTTTTCAACTTAACACACATCAGCAACCACAGAACACAACTGAAGAATGGATGATTGCTGCTCCAAACTGTGGTAAACAGGCTGCCATGAACAAGGAAAATACCTTGTGGAGGGAAAGTTTAAGGTTTCTGACCAGAGTGGAATAACTTTGGAGGCTTCAAACCTAAAAATGCTGGACTGATTACTAAAACACAATTGAAGGAGTGACAAAATGAGGACATTTTTCACCTATTTGGATCTACCTCTTGGATCAAAATTTGAAATGGGAAAGCAGATGAACATTACAGGTGACTTATAATGCTTCCCTGAGCAGGTGAGGGTAGGTGGTCTACACAAAACATGTTCATTACATTTTGTGTTCAAATTTTCTTCAGATTTCAGTCTCTTTTGAGCTACAGTCTCTGTAAATCCAAATAATCTCCTGTTAGCCACGACCCTTATCTCAGAGATTGCACTCATGTGAAAATGGCTGCAAACGGATGCACATTTTTACAACCGTACATCTTTGAGAAGCAGAAGTGGAGCCTCCTACACAACCAATAAGAATGCAGCAAGTTGTTTCTTGATGCTAAGTCAACAACTAACCACTTGTATTTTCCAGCAGCCATTGTACAACGGTAAAACCATCCAACCAAATGTGCTGGAGCTCAGCTTCGGTTGCTAAGTAACTTAACAATCAGAGCGTTTTTGAAACAACTCATTTACCAAACACCAAAAAACAAACATAACATACATGTTTTTTAAGCACTTAGGCTGTTTTTAGAAGCAGTTGAGACCCAAATGGAAGTGTAAAAACTTAAAAAATGTGAATTCTGCATAATAAGTTCCCTTTAATTCTCTCAAACTCCATTCCCAAAGCATCAACTTGTGGACCATTCTTAAAAGCCAATCAAGTATTTAGCTTGTTAGCTAAATATCTAGTTATCAAGCCAAATATTTAGTCTAGCTAAATATTTGCTTGCTAATTGCATATTTAGTTTGAAACTGTTACATATAGACAAAGTGGTGAAAATATCACTTTGAAAAACAGTCTTTAATTTTCTCCAAAATAACCCAAATTATTTCCGATAATGTTTGACTAATTTGACAAGCGACTCCCCATTGTTGGAATATTATAATATAGGACTCACTCAGTAATGGAATAAGGAACATATTCATCTGTGTTGTACATTTGATGGGTTCTGTGGTAAAAATAATTACCAGATTTAAATATTGTCCCTGAATACATCGACCCACCGCCTGCTTGGAGTCACATGAGGCTGATTAACCAGCATAGCTCTCCTCAAAACAAAGCTTTTCTTTTAACTAAATGACTTGAGCGTGATCGTGCTGCCCATGTTGCCGGGCGGACAGGATTTCTCTGGGTAACTCTGGAAAACAAAGTTTCCTCCTCTTCGCTCAACAAACCGGTAAGTTTTAGTCATAATAGATTAGAAACTGCTTGGCAATGCTTTGGAGATTGTTTTAGTTAATTAAATGTGATTGTTAGGAAAAACTGAAACTATTTTCAACTTAAGTCAAATGCATGTTTTTATCCTCTTGTCTGAACTATTCTAATGTTTCCTCTAAGGATAAAAAAGCCTTTTTGCCACAGCAGCGGCTGATTTTACCATGTCATCACCACAGCAAATGGATGAAATGAGAGTGAAAAGAGGAATTGTGGTAGGTTATTATGCTCACTTTCCAAATGTCGTAAACCAAAACTCTTTATGTTGAATCCAAGCAGCTAGAAGTTATTGTAATATTTAAGGTAGATCTGATCAATAGTTTTCTGAACTTTCTGTCAGGCCAAACAATAAATGTTTAATAATTGGGGCTTACCGTGGCAATGCACTCCTTTAATGGATCAAGTGATTTTTTTTGTCTATTTTAAGCAATTATTTACTTAGAACAAGCTCCTACTTCTTGCTAAAAAGTTATTTGTAAGTTAGTTTTGTCTCATTTGAAGTGTACTAGGACGTTTACACTAGAAACTAGACCAAAATTACTTTGTAGGATTTAGTTTTTGCAGTGAATGTTGAGGAAATCTGAAGAAACTCTTGAAAATGTTTTCAAATCAGATACAAGAAATTAAATACTTGACAAATTAAAAATCCAGAAAGCTCGTGCAACTTTTTATGAACAAAAAGTTTACAAGCAAGTCCAGCTCACTGAAAGTAAAAAAAAAAAAATGTTGTTTTTTTTTTGCAGATAATCAACTGTTGTGTTAAAATGGCATTTAGTCTTTTGAATAATGTTTTCCATCATCTTACCGGTACAAACGCAATTCTCGTCACACTTCGGCGAACTTCGGTTGCTATGGAGTTGCTATGACAACAATAAACAAGCCACGAGCTTAGAACTAGCTGCATCGTTCCTTAAATACATTACAACTATTACTTAAGTTTTTGAGTACTCTACCCACCTCTGTGTAATACTATGATAAATATCAGCGATATTTACAGTAGTTTTTACTGCCGAACTAGCAACATTAGCTTAGCTAATGTAGCTTTTATTTGCTAGCTAAGGCGGACGTGTATGTAACAGAGAGAAGAGCTCGTGTGTCTGTGTGAGTTTTGATCTAAATTATTATAGTGAAGGTTGTATGTATTTTTGATCAATGCGTTTGTTTGGAGCCACCTAGTGGTGTGATGAGTGACTGCATGCAACGGGTCCGTCAGGCACTCTCGCGGCTTCCTCCACCAGAATTCTGAGGAGCGCTGGTGGAGCCTGTCGGACCACTTGGCTGCGGTCAATCACATTGTGAGGAGTTTTTCATCTTTTGTTGTGCTAGGTGACCAACAACACAATAAGAAGAGTTGCATGTAGCCTACTGTTTGTGCACGTACTCTGCCAGTGACTAGAACCTTCTTCTTATTCACAGGAAGGAGCTCGTGCTTCCTTTACAAATCCGTTGAAACATTAATAGTATGCGGCCATGGTTTCAGGTGAAGCTCCTCCATATTGTTCACTTGGCAGTTAACTAAATCTTAACTTAGTTGACTAAAGATCGGAGGCAGCTTGTCCAACTCCTCGGACACGTTTTCCTTCCTCGTCTCATATGGGTCCATCCCAACAGTAGCCTTTTTTTTCATGTGTCTTTGTATCACACATTAGTTAAGAGTGTCCATATGGTTTTTTTTTTTTTTGTTGGTCTCAATGGCACGGATCACTTTCGGCGGGAGCTTTCAGGTGATCTGCTTTAAAACGCCACCTGGATGATTTGCCTGATTTGCGGCTGTTGTATTCACTCATGTTTTCTCTCTGCTGCCTGGTCCAGATCAAAGACGACTGGCCTGGCTACAACCTGGATCTGTTCACCTACCCTGAACATTACCACGACGACATTGAGAACGTCTACATTCCCCACGGAGTCATCATGGACCGGTACGAACACAGACGCATGATGTGTCGGTAAACCGTCTCCTGCCGTGTGGTTTTCTCCTCCTGCTAAGGATAGAGCGCCTGGCCCGGTACGTCATGGAGGACTTTGAGGACAGTAAGATCATGGTGCTGTGCGTCCTGAAGGGAGGATACAAGTTCTGTGCAGATCTGGTGGAGTTCATCAAGGTTTTGGGGCGCAGCTCCAACCGGTACCTGGAGACCCGGGTGGAGTTTATCCGCCTGAAGAGCTACCTGGTAGGCAAATCGCATGGAAAGCTGACAGCTTTTCTGTTCCTCTGGTAATGATCTGGATAAAAACTTTAAATAAATTCATCATTTGTTGCAGAAACATAAATATTTGGAAAAAATTCAAGCTAATTTAGTAATGATTAATCGTTAATTGCAGTATTTTACGGGACACCCCCCCCCAACATATTCAGAATAGTAATTAAGCCATATATGTATTTATTGGATTTATTAAATTAATGCTTTAGTATTACATTTTAGGTATTATTTTTAGATTTTACAGTGCAAAAACACAACATTTTACCAGGTATATTTGGTTTAGATTAGATACCTTATTACACTTTAAATAAGACAAAACTAACTTACAGGTTACTTCTCAGCAAGATATGGGAGCTTGTTTTAAATCAATAATTCTTTAATATGGGGAAAATATCTTGTTATAAGTAAAATAAAAGTGAAATTTGTACTTTTTTCATCAATATTATGGAATTATTGACAAAACAAGGTTCTATGTCTTTCTGAAAAATTACTTGTTAGTTATTTTTGTGTTATTTCAAGCATAGTAAAACTTTTCATTAGAAACTAGATTAAAAACTTGGTAAAATGTTTGTTTATGCAGCGTGAACACGTCAGTGTTTGACCACCGGGTGTCGCTGTTGTTCCGGTTTGGTGAGGAAGGATTTCTCCGAGAGTGAAAACACGATCCTGCCAGTATAGATAGATTCAGCTGCCTTTGCCAAGAAAAGCATCTCTGGGGAATGATAAAGATGTCTTTACAGTGATATCACTGAGTGCTTTTGAACACTGTCATCTGGACGATGTTATTTTATGGTGTGTTTTTGGCATACGTCTGAATTATGTTTCCCTGCATGTGGCCACATTCCTTTCACTCCCTTTCCTGCACAAGACAAGATGACAGGTTTTCTGAGTCAGACAAGGTCAAGAACATTATTTTTTGTTTTTTCTTTACATAAAAAAATCCTGCATATTAAAGTTATATATTTCTGATCCACTGCTCATTTAAACTTCTTTAAATCACCCATTGTTGCTTGTTTTTTGCTCACAAAACGTTTTGTAATCTTGTACCGTCCGCTTCAACTTTCTCACTCATTTTCAGTCAGACCATTTGTCATGTCTATAATTTATTGAAAAATACAAAAAAAAATAACAGACCTCAAGAATATAGCATAAAATAGATGATTATAAAATATCCTGTCTGAGATCTTTGCTGTATATTTTCCCTTATAAATCACTTTCAGATACTATTAGAATATGATTAATACTTCTTCTTGTCCACTATCATGATTCCTCAAGGAAACCCAAAATAAAAAAGCTGCCTAAACACTGCAAAAACACAAAACCTCAACAATAATATAATAAAAATCTGACATAATATTGGAAAAATGTCTTGTTATAATTTAAAGAAACTACCAGTAGAACGAGCACTTTAAAAATTCAATGTTAAGAAATTATCGACTTAAAATAAGCTCTTATTTCGCAATGAAGAGCTACTTGTGAGCTAGTTATCTTATGTCAGTTATACAAAAAACATATTTACACTAGAAACTAGACAAAAAGTATTTGGTAAGGTGTTTTTGCAGTCCAGAAGAGCACAACAAAGTTTGCAGACGATGCAAATTTTTATTAATGTTAATATTTTCCCATAATTAATGTAAAATGGAGCTTCCTTTGTTAGATTGTGTAAAATATAAATTAACTAAACAATTAATGATCATCATAGATCTTTGTGAAACAGTTAAAAGTCAAATCTTGTGTTTTCTTTCCTCCAGAACGACCAATCAACAGAGGATCTGCACATCATTGGAAGCAGTGATCTGTCTTTTCTACGCGGAAAGGTTTGTTTGTTTCAGTCTGCTCCCAGCCTGAAGGGGGCGCTGTTAGACTTGTTGTTGGCATGGGGTTCAGACCGAATCTGGAATAATGTGGAGAATGAAAACAGTCATTTGGAAATATTTGGGTATCAATGCTTTACTTCCTGTTCCTTTTGTCTCAATGAAAAATGTTGATTTCCTGTTTTGGTTTGATTTTAATGACTTTATAGGAAATCTATTACATTCATATCCATCCATCAATCCATCAATCAATCAATCATTCTATTGGTCTCTCTGTCCATCCATTTGCCCTTTCAGGGGGTAGAAAGTATCAAACTCTCTGAAACTTTCCTCCATGTGAATCTGGTGTGTCTTTACCAAACTGCCTCTTTCTGCACCCAGCTAGATATTAATCAGACCTTTCAGGATGGACATTTGGACTCTTACTGTACATATACTGAGCGTTTAACCCTGAAGAGCTGTCAGGAAAGACTGATGAATCAGGGCAGAAATGTTACAAACTCAGCTGAACGTGAGCACAAACATGCCTACACTGTATAGTCCTATGGCTAAAAGCAGAAAGGTTGACGCCATCATATCTGGAAAAACTGATGACTTTATACTTCCTGTCCCTTATGCAATAAAATAGAAGAACTAAGTTATTTTAAAAAGTAGCCGTTTTAAAACTACAGTGTTGATATTTTTAAACTCATACTGCGACATGTGGGTTTGTTTAAGACTTGGAAGAGGAAATAAATAACATAATACAGCAGAAACTAAATTTCCTCTTTAAATCCTTGTTTTCATACAACCTAGCATCATTGCAGCACAGCTAGCTGCTGCAAGACATCACAAAAAAGCATTTTAGATATAATGTGAGCCATTGCTTCAGAAATAACACAAATACTCCTACAGTTGCTCATGATATGTTAATTAATTGGCAAACAAAACACTAACGATGAGGCTGATGATGATCCTCAACTTATTGTACAAGCTAGCATTAGCAGTGCAGCACAGATAGTGCTTGAGAAAAAATTAGATATGTAAGATTTGAAACCTCCAACAAGTAATTGCTTTTCGCATAATACAGTTACTGATGAGGTTATCTGTTTATTGCTGAGACAATAATACACAGAAAAAGATAAATAAATCAGTTGAGATCAAATGTACGACTTCTTTGTGTTTACGTACAAGCTAACATTAGCACCTCAGTGCAACTAGCTGCTAAAAGTAGCAGTTTCAAGTTCTTGTGTATCTTTTTGTTTAATAAAAAAAAGAGGAGCAACAACTGGTGTAACTGGCCATAATGTTTATTAAAAGCAAATAAATTTAGCTCTAACACAAATTAATCTCCACTTTTTGTACCTATTTGAGTAAAAGCATTAGAAATGCTGCGCTGGAAGCAAAAAAACAGTATTTTAAAAGTCCCACAAGTACTTGTTTTATGAAAGTTTATTGTCTTTTTTTTCCATATATTTATTAATTCAATACCCAATAATGGTTGTGCTGAGTATTTTTAATGTTAGGGACATCTTAGGAACATAATAAATAAAATCAATAAAAACCTAAATCGCTAACACATCCAGCTCAGATTAAGGCATCGAGTTTCTTTAACTTGGCCCGATTAGTTCAGTGTCTCAAAGCGTGATGTGAAGGTTTCCAGGTACAGACTGAATAAAAATTGGCCAGCTGTCTGCATTCTCTCCAATCGCTCTCCCTAAACCATAGACACGCTCACAAAGAGTCCTCACAGCCAGAAGAAGAAGAATTCATCAGAAAACCCAGAAGCAGCGGGGCAATCGCTCAGCACCCGGTCACTCTGGTGACTTCTGGTCATTGTAGAAAACAGATGTTTCATTACAGCGGAGAACTGAAAGAGTTGTCTGTATTTTTTAGCTAAGACAGTGAAGATGCAGCCAACTTTGTTGCCATAGAAACCCCCCCATGGAAACAGCCTTGCTTTTATTCTCGCTTTGCTTGAACGGTGTGAAAACTCCAGGATGACTTACTTACTGATGTTTTTCTACCTTTTTCTTGTTTCACATGCGACCCAGAGTGTGCTCGTTGTTGAGGTGAGTCTATAAACTGTATAGTTTTTATTTATGACGTGAAATTAATTTGCTTGTCTTGGTTGTCACCAATTGCAACTTTTTCACGTTTCAACCAGAAACTTCAGTGTTTTAATTGGGATTTTAGGTGACTGCACAACATAAAACGGGGGTGACCAAAGTGTGGCTCCGGGGCCATTTGTGGCCTTTGGACGATTTTTTTTAGCTCTCCAACTGCAGTTCAAGAATGACTTTTTGTACCAAGTGTATAATTATTATTAACTTTCTTTTTTCTTTTTTACAATGGAAAACATGAAGTAAAACACAAAACATTCATCTTTTCACAACCAAAAATGTCCAAGTAGTTTGGGTCTGTCACTTAAAATTCAAATAAAATGTACAAAAGTTTGTGGTTTGAACATGTCAGGATGTGGAAAAACTCAAGAAATATGAAAAACTGAACAATATGCACTGCAAAAACACAAAATATTACCAAGTATTTTTGGTCTAGATCTTAGTACAGTTGAAATAAGATAAAATGAAATTACAAGTAAAAGGTTGAGCAATACATATGAGCTTGTTTTGAGTCAGTAGTTCCTTAATATTGATGAAAATGTACCAGTTCCATTAGCAGATTATTTCACTTATAACATGGAAAAATGACTGCTTTAAGTAAAATAATTACCAAAGAAAGAAGTGGATTTTCATCAATATTAAGGAATCGTTTAGTCAAAACAATCTCCCACTTCTCGCTGAAGTTAGTTTTCTTATTTTAACATATTTGCACTGGAAACTAGATCAAAAATACTGGATAAGATTTTGTGTTTTTGCAGTGAATGCATCAGATGCATCTGATAATGTAGTTTTATTAAATATTTAAAAACAAATGTTTTCAAATATTTAAATGTATTTAATTGGTCTAAATTAAATAAATTAATTGAAATATTTTATAATATTTAAATGTAAATATTTTCAATTTAAAAATATTGGTTTTATTCCAGTAATTTGAGTAATTTCTTGGATGCTACGTTTAACTTTTACTTGAGTAAAATATGATGAAGTGATGCTTCTCTTACTTGAGTACAATTTTTGGGTGTTTTGCCCACCTCTGATGACAAACATACAAAATATTTTATGTACAAAAATGCAGAAAAAGTCAGTGCATAAGTTAAGAACATGTAATCTCTAAGAATATTAAAGAACATCTTCTGATGTAAAACTTGCAGTAAAAATTGAGGTTTCCTCTGGCTTCTTTCTTCGCATTTACAGAACAAACATTCACAGAAATGTGGAAGTTTTCCAGTATCAGGAAACTTTCTGGGGGGAAAAACCGATCTGTGATTCTTTGTATCTTCATATCTCTGGTCTCAATGATCCGGATCCCTCCCTCCCTCATTGCTCCGGCTTCCTCTGCTCTTCCCTTCCCTCAGGCCATCGTCGACACAGGAAAGACCATGAAGGCTCTTCTGAAGCATGTGGAGACCTTTGAGCCAAAGATGGTCAAGGTCGCGGGGTGAGTCTGCGTCTCGGTCGTCCCAAAGTTTTTCCACTGTGAGGGAAATGCCGAGCGCATGATGAGCAGGAGGACAAGATGTCACTTTGTGTGTGTGGGCAGCTTTTCCAGAGATCAGAGGGAAGATTATCATCTTGCTGCACACATGGCTTATTGTAGCGCTTTATTTCCTTTTCTGTTTATGACAGAAAAGCAGAAACTTAGCCAGTCAGACCTATAAATCAATAAGAAATCAATTAATTAACAGTGATTGATGTGTTTCAGTCTGTTGGTGAAGAGACTCTCTACCATGACTGAAAGTCTGACAGACTGTAAGTATTTTTCTATAACTAACAACTGCTTTAGTAATCAGTTAATCTATCAATTTTCCTGATGATTAATCGGATATAAAAATGGCACATTCTACATTCTACTTGCCTAAAATGCAATTTTAGGCAATTAAATCTAGTAAATTTGAACCAGGTGGAGCTGAAAGTAAGGAGGCCAGTTGAGGCATTTTGGTTAAAACATTTACAGACAAAAGTTTTTTTTTTTAATCTTTAATACAAAATGTATGCATTACAACTAATGATTATTTTAGTAATCAATCTAATTTCCTGATGATTAATCGATTAATCGGATACAAAAATGCCACATTTTACAGATATTTCTTAGGAGTTTTTTATACAAAATTAAAATTGCATTAAAAGCATCCTAATAAACAATTATTTAGATACTTTTTAAAATGAGAAAATAATCATTTTGTTACCTAAAATACAGTAATGTAGCATTCTTTTAGTAAATTTGAACCAGAAGAAGCTGAAACTATGGAGTTTTGGTTAAAACATTTACATATAAAAGTTGTTTTAATCTTAAAAGCAACAGTTTAGGCTTAATTACTGCTCTGAATATGTTGCTGTTCGTCAGCAAATTGCCTTTTTTGAGTCTGTATACTCCAGTTAAATTTTTTTTTGTAAGCGATTGTTTCTGGTTGCTTTTATTTATTTATTTATTTTATTTCAATTTTTTTATTTCTAGTCTACTACATACAGTCATTCTCGTCCCGCAGGCCAGCAGATTACACACATAAAATGCTCCATCGCATTTGTCTTTGCTACGTCTGTAAATATTAATATGTCAATGCCAAATTTACTTATAGCACTTTTAAAACTAAGTTAATACTGCACCAAGGTGCTGTACAAAATCAATAGCACAATAGAATAAGTTGATAGAGGAAAAAAAAGTAAAATAAAACATCACAACAGAAAAGTTACAGTATCAGGCCTCACTTAAATGAAAAGGAATAAAAATAAGTTTTAAGAAAAAGAATATGCATGTTTTTGAAACTATAAGGAAAATATGTAGTTGTATTTTGATGCACAACACGTTGGCTCAAACGTCTGTTTGTTTTGGCAGATGTTGGATTTGAAATCCCCAACCGATTCGTGGTCGGCTACGCCTTGGACTACAACGAGTACTTCCGTGACCTGAACGTAAGTCCTGAGTTTGCTGCTGCTGATCTCGTGACCTTTTGAAAAGCTGTGGAGAAAGAGATGAAAGAGGCGGAGGCGGGAGAGCAAACACAGTAAATCAAAGCGGTTCTCTCCTCCTCTGTGAAACCTAAACTCACCCAACAGGTATCCTCCCTGTCTGAGGAGGTTTTACATGCAGCTGCAGCGTTTTATAAGAGCGGTTTATGAGAGTACAATCATTTGAAAGACAGAAGCATCCAGGAGAGTCTGCTTTATGTTTGCACCATTTGATTTGTACTGTCCGTTTTAGTGGCACGGACGTCCATTACAGGTAAAACCAGAAGTAGCTTGGAAGAAAAACTAATTCTGCTGACATGGAAGCTAAAAGAAAACGTTTATTAATGTTACTGAGGCTTCAAAAATACACTTCAAAAATACACTTCACTGCTAAAACACAAAATCTTACCAAGTATTTTGGTAAAGTTCCTAGTTCAAATGTCTTAGTTTCAACTCACAAAAAACTTTTCAGCAAGATAAAGGAGCTTGTTTTAAGTAAATAATTCCTTAATCTTGATTTAAAAAAAAATAAAAATAAAAAATACTTATTCCACTGGCAGATTATTTCACTTTTAACAAAACATTTTCCCTTCTTATAAGTAAAGCTGAACTAAGACGTTTTCATTATCAAGACATTATTGACTTAAAACAAGCTCCAATTTCTCACTGAAAGTTACTTGTAAGTTGTTTTTTGTTCAAGTGTATGAAGACATTTGCACTAGAAACTTGGTAAAATGTGATGTTTTTGCAGTGTTGGCAACATTTTCCAGCAGATTACTCGACTAAACAAGCAAATATCATCTTATGCTTTTCTGATCAATAAAGCTTGAAATATATGTTTATTCTATAGTTAAAATAACAATCAATATATGGTATTAAGATTAGTTTCACATTTTCTAGTTTTGCAAACATGCAAGTTAGGTGTTTCATCCTGTGTCAACCTTTGCAAATAAATTAATTAAATTATTTTTTATTTCAGTAGATAAAACTAGTTTTCTGTGCTCTTTCTTCCAAACCTGGACGTTTATTTCAGGTCAGAAATCAGTCAGTAGAAATCTCCTGTCTTTATTTGCAGACATGTGAACTGATATTCACCTCCAGCCGTTGTGAAAGGCTGGCTTCACTCCCAGAACGTTATGTGCTGCATGTTTGCACTGTATGTGGCTCCTATGCATGTTTGAGGGGGCGTTGTATCTCATTGTGAAAGTTTGAAAAACCGACCTGTGGAATGTGGAGGTTTGGAGTCTCATTATCAGAGTTCAGGTTTACCCTCTTATCTGTCCTCATCCCACCGAAGAAGAATGAATCAAGCGCTCCCCCACCGAGACTCAGAGTTAGACTAATGGACGTCTTTAGATCACATTGCCTGCTTCCAAATAACTCCAGGTTTTACACAATTTATTCCTGTAGATGGAGGGTACAGTTTGCTTTTATGCAAAATGGAAAGTTGCATCTATTGACCCTTTGCAACTACGTCACTTTTCATTCGAGGCGCCATGATGGACGTCGGAAGTGAGGGACGGGAGTCTTGAACAGAGCGACTGAAATTGTTTTTTCCAGTTTATTCAGGGCTTCTACTTGTTCGAGTCGAGCTCATTTCTCTGTGACGTAACACACCTGGTTGGGGCTCACAGACGGCGGTGTTTACACAAATTGGAAACGGCTAGCTTAGAAACAGACCGTATCTACTCCCTCCTGACGTGTTGATTAAATTACAGACTGCCTGAATTCACACCACGTGATTTATATCACTATGTCATAAACGGCGTTTCCCCTTAAACTGGAGCAGCCTTAAAAATGCTAACCAGTTTTTTCTATACATGCTAGGCTACAAGACGGTGCGACATTGTTTCCATGGTTACTAATGGTTAGACGCGTACCTTCTCTATAATGCGATATTTAACATCTTTCTAATAATACTTATAAAGTATATGAATGTTAGTCTTCTTACCTTGTAAAAAGTGTTTGCTGCTAATCCGCATTTACACCGAGGGCTGCCAGTCATTATAATTAACCGCTGCTTTCTATCACCGCCGTATCTTTCCTCATTAAAAGCTAAAATAAAATGACGAGTTCGGTTTGTGCAGCCTATGATAACTTTTAAAGTGAAATCAACTGAATAGAAGCTATATTATGTTACAGATGTCTGTTTTTAGACGGGCTTTAAAGGAGCGCATTGGTTGTTTTGACGTCCGTCATGGCGGAGCTCTGGAGAGCGTGACGTCACGCGCAAAAAGTCAATAAAAGGAAGTGAAAATGCAGCGAATTTAACATTTGGCACACACTCATTTCCCCCTCTTTTTTCAGCACATCTGCGTCATCAGCAAAACCGGAAAGATGAAGTACAAGATTTAGAGAATTAAACCCATTAATTATGCATTGTTAAAAAATATACTAGCCGTTTTCAGCAGTGTGGCTGTGTTTAATTTTAATTATTTATATGTCATTATTTTTTACATATTTTCATGTGGTTCAGATAAATTGTATTTGTAATATGGTTATATATATTGACTTCCTCTTTGCTTTGTTTAGACCTGTCACAATAAAAAAATTTGAACGATAAATTGTCCCTTAAGTTCTTGCGATAAACGATATTGTTCGAAGGTCATTTTAAGTTTTATATTGTAATGTCACAGAAATGAAAGAACACATTCTGAAAGATCAATACATATTTAACTCTGTAACTGGAAGATATTTTAAATATTCAAATAAACAAAACAGAAGTAACAAAATGAATCATGAAGTCTGTAAACAAAATTGTCCTTCATAAAATAAGGTCTAGTTAAGGCGAAAGCACTGACTGAAGACTTTTGTTGTCTAATTTTTAATATAGAGAAACAATAAATCATGCAAATTATTGAGCTTGTTTTAATTTATCATGCTATTGTTTTATTGATTGATTTATTGCAACAGGCTTTTTGTTACACAGTAAATGTTTCAGATTCTCAATCAAATGTTGATATTAACCCCTTCAGACCTGATTTATCTGCATTTTTATCTAGTTAACTCTTATTCCCCTTTGACAAAGTGAGAGATTATACTCGCATAACAATAAAATAAATGAATTGTAAAATCTCAAATAAGTTATAAAATGCTTACGGATACCTTTTTATACATTACATGGTAACACTATATAATAAAACAATTCCAGATGCCCGTTGAGATGGACAACTTTGAAAAAATCCTATAATTTAATGACTGAAAATTTCCATTGAATCTTATATTTGAGTCTGTTTGTTATGTAATTTTCAAATATTTAATGATGGTTTGATCTGTTACTTAAGCAGGCTTTCTACCAAATACATTTTTTTTTTTTTTTACTATAAAGTAATTCTTGGATCGATACTTTTTACTTTTACCAGATTAAAACTATGTTGAAGTAGTGCTACTCTGAATATAATTTTTGGATGCTCTGCCTACTTAGAATACAGAATGATGCTAAAATTGGATAGCTAATTCTTTGTCGAGGTGAACACAGGGACCAAAAATATGAAGAAAGAAAAGCTGTTCACTACAAGAGGACATGGGTGACAGATGGAGGGAGCTTATGGACCTTGGCATCCTCACCGTTGGATGATTCCCACTCTGACTCATGGAAAACAGTGGGCGTTGTCCTCAAACTGCCGTCTTTACGCCACTTTATTCAAGCTAGTTTCAACTTTTAGCTTCCTTTTCCTGGAGCTTGGAATGAATAACTGACAGATTTAACTGCAAACAAATTAAAGCCATCATTTTTTATGTCATTTATGTCAACTTCTTTCTGCAGAGTAATAATTAAAGAGTTTGACACAAGAAGGCTTTTTTGCTTGTTTTTTGGGTCATTGGAGAAAAGGGTATAAATACTAATATGTCAAAACTTAAACCTTTCTTACTGGAAAGCAGTATCAATTAAAGACATAATTTCAGTATAAGAAAAATGTTGCCTTAGTTTAAAAATAAAAACTTAAATCACTTCACTTGAATTTAAATAATCCTTGACTCTTTGGCATCATGTATTTTGCCATCATGTTATTTTAATCTGTTAAAACCGCCGCTTTTTTGTCATCACATCTTCGCCTGCCTAGCACATCAGGTAAGTGTTGAATTAGAAGATCACGCTACTAACTTAAGGAGCTGGTTGAGTGTTTATTCTTCAAAGCAGAACCGCATAACCTACGTCTTGGATCCTACACTCGACTCTGGACCGTTTCTCATTCCCAATTAATTGCCAAAAAAGGAAAAGAACTCTGAACGCAAAGGTGTACGTAATACAATAGTTGGCAGGTATGCTACTAAAAAAACATGCCTCCAAACCAAAGATAACGGTCCAACTGCTCTACACTGCCTCTCTAAGATAAATGATGTGCTGCTATTTGGAAAATTCAAAACCTTCAGGGAAGTTTGAAGTCCTTAGTTTAAACATGTTGACTCCATATATCTTTGCCTGACATAGAATACAATACAATACAATAGCATACATACTGTAGGTTTGACAAGTTTGAGCCAGAAGTGATCCTCGCCATCTTGGTAGTGCAGTGCAGTGCAAATCATATGAACCATGGCTTTCAGACCAAACAAAAGGACAGTAGACTGACATTTTGACTAATGTGCAAGAGAAAGATATATATTAAAATCTTTGCTGTCTGGATCGACAGGTAAGAGACGGAGACAGGAAATACATACAGCGTGGACAAACTGCCTCTCCTACAATGACATGGTTCACTACCTGTTGAGCACGAAGAGTGCGCACGCCAAGCAGGAACTAAACAGTGTTTCAACGGCTTTGTAAAGGGCATACAAACTCTTTGTGTGAATAACAAGAATAACTTACATGTAGGCTACATGTTTGCCTTAGCTTGTAGATAAAAGCTACATTAGCTAAGCTAATTTTACTGTCATGACAGTTGCTGTACCTACCAAGATGGCTGCCAGCTACAATGTTCCCGGAATTGTGACATCACGTGAGAACTATACTTTATTGATTCCCAAGGGGAAATTGCTTATTATAAGACATTAGAATATCCTGAATGTCGGTGAGCTTTTATTCAGTTCACACCAAGGTGCAGAGGAACAAGATGATTAAAAACCAGTAGGAAATGATGCTGATTTCTGTTTCTTTCTGTCTGTGCTGTCTAGGCAACAAAGACCCACAATGTACCACTGACTGAAACCCCATGTATCCTTATCATAAAACATCAGCACTTGTTGGTAGTTGTTAACTTATCCCAGCACTAATGCCCCCTGCATTGCCTTGGGAACTCGGCGGCCATTGTCTGTCGCCTTGAGCCAGGGTTTGGTGAAAGCGAGAGCAGACAAAAAGCCCGGCAGGTTTCTCATGCTGCAGCTTTGTGGAGCTTCGCCGGGGGAACAGAGGCTGGGGCCGGTCCGGAAAAGTGTACTACAGGTAAACTGCGACCAGCACAAAAGGAACAAAACCGGGATTGTCCAGTTGAATGGCCACACATCCCAGCTTTTGACATATGAAGCCGGTGGTTACAGATGGAGAGCTGGGATTTGATTTCACCTCAACAGAACAACACATAAAGCATATTTAATCTGTAGACCTAATCAGTTTATCTGGTTTGGTTGGATTAGAAAATTTAAGAAACACAGTTTTACTGGAAATATGACATCTCAGGTCTGGTAAGTATTAAAAACATCTCGGACTGAGTTTTTGGTTAAAAAATAAAATTTAAAGGGCCAATTTTAAAAGGATTTATCAAAAGTATTGTTTTGTGTATTAAAAATCCCAACACTGGAAAAGGTGTGGAAAAAATTATCTCAAAAAGCAAGGACATTTTTTTTAGGAATATCACTCAAACATTTCTCCTGCTTTGTATTCTTTGTTTTTCCTTTTAGAATAAAATAGACAAAGGGGTAGTTCTCTCATATGTGTCACACTTCCAAGAACTTTGTAGCTGACAGCCATCTTGGTAGATACGTAACTAACGTTCGTGTCAGTTGCTATGACAACAATAAACAAGCCACAAGCTTAGAACTAGCTCTCGCCTCGTTCCTATCCAACTTTTCAACAATATAAGTACATTACAACATTACGCGATCACAATTTTTGAGTACTCTACCCTCCTCTGTGTAATACTAAGATAAATATAATTTATATTTACTGTAGTATTTGCTGCCGAACTAGCATCATTAGCTTAGCTGATGTAGCCTTTATCCGCTAGCTTAGACGGACATGTTGCCCACGTGTATGTTACGCGAACTTACTCTGCCAGTCACCAGAACCTTGCTATTCATTTGAAACGAACTACATATTGTAATATAATGTGATCGCAGCATTGTTAAATTATCTGATTAACCACATTCATTTTAACCAGGTAAAATTAATGCTGGACCCTTGTTATTTATTTTATTTTTTAGAAATTATTTCATAAATCAGTTATCAATAATATCAATTAGATTATCAGATATCATATTATATCCTATTAGAGTCTTGATCTTTCCAATTAGGGTTGATAAATGTTTTCTTTGCTGCTAATGTGAAACTACAAGCCGTATATTAGAATTTGACCTTCTGAAGTCAAACCATATTTTTACTTCATTGGTGTACCATGGTTTACAAATAGAAAGAACATCCTCTGCAGCGTCACTTGGGTTTGAGGCTGCGTTTCGTCCAGTCATCCAACTCAGTGCCAGATCCACTTACACAACCAGGAGTCCGCAGTGATCCTCATCCTCTTAACCCTTAAACTAAACCACAGGTTAAGAAAAATCCTCATAGAGCAGCAGTACATGAGCGTCTGATGACGATGGGACAGAGAGGCCTTCTTCCACAAAAAAATTAAACAAAAGAAGAAATAAAGACGTATTATGCAGAGTCCTAATCCAAGCCCAGCCTGGCTTTGAACTTGTGTTCATCTTCATGTAATGTCCTAATCCAGCCAAACATTTTTCTCCCATGGAAGAGCTGGTAATCTGCTGCTGGTAATCTGCTGCTGAGTTGGGCAGGAATTACTTAAATTTACTCAGCTGAATAACTTGTTGGAAAAATTTACTTTTAAGAATATTTTTTACTTTTACTTGAGTATTTATTTCATTACTCTCAAGTAAAATTTCTGGACACTCAACACACTAAGAATAACTTCACTGACTAAAGAACAAGCTTGTTTTAACCAAGACTCACACTTGCAGTTTTAAAGTTTCATAAGTTTTATATTTAAAAAAAATTATTTGGCAATTTTTATCTTTTGCCTGATTTCTGTTTATAATTATGTCATTTATATGAATCATTTTTCATTTATTTCTTAAATTACCAACATTTCCACATAATTTTATATTTTGCTCTGATGTAATTTTTAAATATTAAATATTAAATAATTGATGTTTTGGTACTTGAGTAGACTTTTTACCAAATATTTTTTACTCTTACTTGATTAACTTTGACGATGATTACTTTGTACATGTAGTTTGAGTAAAAATATGTTGAAGTATCATTACTCTTACTTGAGTAAAATTTCTGGATACTCTACCCACTGTGAGTAACTTCAGTGAAAGAATAGACATGTTTTAACCAAGATACACACACATGCAGCTTTTAAAAAAAAAGTTTCATAAATTTTATACT